TAAGAGGGTCCCTACTGCCTACCTGTAAAAGTCCAAGTAGTAGAATATGAGGACATGGTGTAATGTAAACATGATCACCTTTAATTCAAGTTAGGTTGGCTGGCTTGGGTGCTGCCTGTTACTTGTTAGGATCGCAAACCGGGCTGGAATCAGGAATCTGGAAGCAAATTGTAAATTCATTTTAATTTTTTTGTAAACAAAAAAAAGAAAAGGAAAATTCAAAGTTGACTCATTAAATAAAGAATACGTACACTTACGAACCAACAAAATAATTAAGCGTATTAAATTCATTTTAATCTTAAACTTATTAATATTGTAACATACTTAATGTACCTGAGTCCATGGCTCATCCTCATCTCAAATTGCAGATAATCGCTCCACGTCGGTCCAAATCAGGCTCATGGAATTCAATGGGAAACTGCCCTATAAGCCAATCTGGTCGTCTATGGAAACTATATCAAATGAAAGTTGCTTCAAGTACAGAAAGAAAACTAATATATCCAAAAAAATACCGAACCTTTCAACTGAATTATGTATATATTTTGGATATTGACTATACCCATCTACTGACATATAAAAGAGTTTGATGAAAATGGACTTCTTGTACTTTATCTTCAGAATAATCATCAAATAACATAATAATATATCCTGATCAAGATAGAGAAAAAGAGATTATTGATTTTTGCAGTCTGCCGAAAGAGTAGAGAGGTCTAAGTGTTGGATCATAAAGCCCACTGACACAACCGACGTTTCCTAGACAACCCTCAACATTATGTGGCCCAAAAGAAAATTAAGAAGAAAAAAGTATGGCCTAAAACATAATGGGCCACGATTTCTCATTCTAGTTCCATTAAAAAGGTTGAATTGGCGTTACAAGATTCAAATCTAAGTGTTATACATGGACCAAAAATGGTTATACAACGAGAGAGATTGGAACTTTGTTTTATTTAACATTGTCAGTTTTTATATAGAAAACCAATTAACACACACACACACACATATATATATATATATATACTGCAAATTTAAAATATGTTAATTAGTTATAATAATTTTTGGGTTTTTTATGACTAATTAAGTTGAAGAATGGGATATAGATTGAAATTTGGAGCGAAAATTTTGAGCCATATGGGCTCATTAATTTAATGCCTTCGTCACTGTTACTATTTTATTCAAAATCCAAGTAATTCATCGTATAGGAAGAGCGGTTATCAAATAATGATCAAACTGGTAGTAGTTTTATTTTTAAAGAGAAAGTGATAATATGCATTAATGAGGTATACATTAGTCCAAGTCACGTCTCTAAAAAGCATTAAAATCAAATGTGCATTAAGAAAACCTTATTAAGATATCCTTATTCTTTTTTTTTTAATTTGAGAATAGAATATTCCAATCGAATTATTTAAGTAAAGAGATATATGCAATTATTATATATCCTAAATTCCTAATTTGCAAGCAATATTTCCGGCAGAATTGTTTGGTTTTGGTAGGGTTGCATATATTTTTAGTAGGAAATACGTATGGGGCACCATTATTGTGCTTGTACTCGTACTAGGGGGCGAAACAAAGACATTAGTTCTCTAGGAAAATTAAAAAAAAAAAAAGAAAAAAAGGAAGATTTAGCTAGCTTTGCTTGGAGTAGTGGGGTTGGTGACATTGCAAACCATGCCAAACAAATAACATCATGTTGACATGAAATGCATGCGCCACATGGGACAGAATAATTGACACATGACACGTGTCACATCTTGAACATTCATGTTAGAACAAATACAAATAGTTATGATTTGTGGGTTGAATTGATGACATATATAGGGGTGTTGCATCTTGCACGTAAATTGGAGTATGGTGCAATTTCTTTCGTGTTAGAATCTTATATTGAAAAAATACGCACGTGGGACTTTTGTCATTATATATTTTTGGAGACATTTTCCATGAAAGGGCTTGGAAAAAAAGAGGAAAAAATAAGTTTATCTAAGTCTA